GTATACTTCTGAGGTCTTAGGGTGTCTGTAAAACTGAGGGGGCATGCTGTGGCTTTATGGGTGACCCCATTTCTTTGATGGGAAGACCTGTATCTACCTTACTAGGTTATTGACAAGGTCAGAGAAGTTAAAACCTACCCAATGCCTAAGGCTTTCCAGTCTTCAGGAGAGGCCACCTGGAAGGGGCGGGGTGGGTAGGGGGTGGGGCTTCGGGGAAAGGACAAGGGGAGGGGAGGAGTAGGGAAGGGGCAGGGAAGACAGCGAAGGCTCTCTTCCCATTCTCCCACTTGGAAAAACATTTTACAAAATGAATTCATATGGTTTCCTAGAACCCACCCTGATGAGCATGGGCGGTGACCATGTCCTTGCTTGCTCCGTTACTGCCTTCTGCCCTTTGCAGGACACTGAGAAAACTTCCTGGAGCTCAGTGGGACTGAATCTTGAGGGCAGTGAGGGCAGAGAGGCGAGGCTGTCCTTGGAGACAGCCTTATTTCATGATCACAGAGAGGCTGGGGTTCCCGGAGAAAAGCCCAAGGTCCCATCAGAGTCAGAAAGCTGACATCACTGCTCTTTTAAGACCAAACCAAGAACCAGATGTTGGGGAGATTAACAGTGAGGCCAGATGTGCCACTGAGGCCCCACAGTGAACAACAAAACCTGGTTGTAGCCTGCGGAACAACAGCAGCTGTTCCGGTCTGGGCTGGCTGGAGTTGAGAACCAGCCTGTGGAAGGAGGGATGTGGAAGGCTTTGGGTGTCTTCCAGGCCCAGGGATGGCGGTACCTCATGATGCCTGCCCTGCAGATGGATGAGGTTACACTGCACACTCCCAGGTTGGGATTTTGGAATCACAGTTGAGACCCTCTGGGCTCCAAAGCTGTTCTGTTCTGGCTCCTTACATCACAGCCGGGGACACCTGGAGTTGGAGGGCAGTTTCATGTGGTTTCAGTGTGTCTAAGAGAGTAGATAGAGCAGAGGTGTCAGGCCACAGGCTGGGTCTGGATCATGTATTTGAAGAGAGAATGGAGGTCTCTTTATTTGTGAAAGTCATTCCTTAATTGTTTTTTCAGGGTCCTTCCTGTGGCTGAGGCTTGTTTCTGTGTAAGTAGCCCAAATCCTAACCTCCAGTGAGACCCTGGACACTGCCCATCACTGACACCTACTTGATGTCAAGACTGTCCTGACTCTGAGAAGGTATGATATCTTTAAGTGGAAGTCAATTCCCAAAGGAACTATTCAGACAGCTAGCTCACTGAAGGGGACCGAGAGCAAGCTGGAGTTGAACTCTGCACTCTGGGTAAGGTGCACCCGCATTTGGTCCACCCACATGGTAATTCACAACCATCTCTAATTCCAGTTCCAAAGGATCTAACACTCTGTTTTGACCTCTCTGGGCATCAGGCATGCATGTGACGCACAGACCTACATGCAGGCAAGACACTCATACACATAAAAATGAGGTATGCGTGTGTTAGTGTGTCTGTATATGTATGTGTGTGTACATCTATACATGTCTATGTGTATGTGTGTAAATGTGTGTGAATGCGCGAATGCGTGTATGCATGCTTGTCTGTATGTGTGCATGTACGAATGTGTATGTGGTATCTGTGTGTGTATGCATGCTTTCGGGTGTTCTGTGTGTATGTGTGTGATATGTGCACATGCATATATGCTTGCAAGTGTATATGTGCATGCATATTTGTGATATGTGGTGTGTGTGTATTCTGAGCATGTGTATATGTATGTATATGTGTGTATGCATGAGTATATGCATGCATGAGTGCTCATACTTATGTATGAATATGTGTGGTATGCATATATATATGTGTATGTATATGTCTTTGTGTGTGTGGATGCATGTGTGCTTTTTTGTGTATGTATACGTGCATATGTGAATATTCATATGCATGTCTCTGTGTGTGCATGTGTGTGGTGTTTATGCATGTATGTATGCATGTGTATGCATGTGAATGTTTTGTGTCTGCACGTGTGTATGTGTACATTGTATATGTGTATGAGTGTGTGTGCATGGTGTATGTGTGTTTGTATGTATATGTGTGTGGTGTATGTGTCTGTGAATGCATGTGTAGAGACCATTTCTGTGTGTGTATGTGTGTGTGCATATGTAGCGGCCAGAGGACAATGTCTAGTGTCATCCTCAGAAACAAGGTCCACCTCCTTCAGATAGGGTATCTTACTGCCCTGACATTCACCGATTAGGCTGAAATGGCTGGCCAGTGAGACGCAGGGATCCTCCTACCTCTATCTCCCCAGCACTGGGCTTCCTTACAAGGTCAGCACTTTATGTGGTTTCTGGGATCTGAGCTCAGGATCTCCTGCTTTCCAGGTACACACTCTGTTAACAGACGTACCTTCCCCAGCCTGTAGGGAAGGTTTTAAGTACAGCAAGGGCGTGGCCAGTGTGTACCTTAGCTGGTTTCCCCAGAGGCAGATCCAATAAGAGGCCTTTGAGAGCAGGCAGCGCCTGTGGGAGGTGCTTCCAGGGAAAGCCGGCAGGAGTGGGGAAGATAAGAGGGGGTGGAGCCTCCAGGGAAAGCTGGCCGGAGAGGGGCGGAGCAAAGTGGAGGAGGTACTGTCCTGCAGGCCACCACTGATGGCTGCAGGGAATTGGGTGGGGTGGTGCCTGCCTGGAATCCTGAAGGCATGGGGTCAGAGTTCATGGTCATCATTGGCTACATATCAAGTTTGAGACCAGAGTGGACTACGGGAGACCCTGCCTCAAACTACAAATAAATGGTGGGCTGGAGAGAAGAAGCCTCATTGGTTAAGAGTCCTTAACTGCTTTTGTAGAGGATGAAGGTTCAGTTCCCAACATCCACACGGTGGCTCACAACTGTCCTTACCTCTAGTTCTCGGGGCTCTGGCACCCTCTTCTGGCTTCCATACGTATCTGAAGGCAAACATTTATACACATAGAAATAACAAGTCTTTAAAAAAAAATACAAATAAACTCTCTCCTATGTTCTTGGCCTCTCGACACTGTGCCCAGGAATCAGAGACCTGGCGGTCTTATTTCTGACATTAAAACCTTTGACCACAACATTTGTTGTCTTTGTTGACAACAAATCAAAGAGGGGGTAAAAAAAAAATCCTCAAAAAAACTCTATTCAAGTAATGGCCCTCCATTCCCCCGACCTCAGTTCATCTATATATGAAATCAGGAGGAGACTTTCAGGGGTGATGACCTCTCCCAGGATCCCTTCTTTTATCCTACAGAGGCTGGCGACCCCCTGTCAAGCAGTCCTGAGAAAGGAGAACACAGAATATCCTTTGAGAGAAACTGAGGCATGGTAAAGAGCCTGCTGAGTGAGTCCTGGCCCACTCCTGTCCTGCAGATCAATGGGCTTGGCTCACAACCTCCTCTATTTTCCCCCAGGGCCGCAGGTAGTGTCACAAGTCGAGCCGTCAAGCAAGGTCTCCTGTGCTCTTGTTTGTGTGTGGCAGAGACAGGAAACGTGTAAGGACAGTGGTTTCCACGGGCTTCTAGACCCTTCTGATCCTTGTCAGGGATTGGGGTTTGGGTCTCCGGGTCTTACCCTTACCCCACAGTTTATTTTGTTGAGACTTTCAACCCCATCAGGGCTCTGGTGGTTCCTCTGAGCCCTTCTGACTAAAAACAGCCCTTCACATCATGTCTGCCATGCCTCTGATGCTGCCACAAATGTCACCTGCACTCTGTGGCCTGGCTCTGGGATATCAGATCCTGATGTGCTGGCTGAGGAGGCTGAACTGAGAGGCTCTCAGGTCCCTTGTTACAACCCCTGCATCCCCAAGTTGTGAAGGAGAGGCGAACTTATCAACCCATGCAGATGGATTCTCTAGGAAGCTGAGTCTTCAAGATGTAGAACTCTGGGCTGGCTATAGCCTGCACACGCACACGAATACACAGACACAGACACTGACACACATGCACATACATACACATGCACACATAGACACACACAGACACAAACACACATATGTACACACACGCATGCACACACATGCACACAGATATACACATGAGTTCACATGCACACATACCCTCCTCTCTCTCTGTTTGTCTGTCTGTCTTATAGGATTTTATTTCTGTAAGATAAAAGCCAGGTTGGGGCTCCAGGCTATTTTAAGACATGAGAAGAAGGGGCAGGAGAGATGGCTCAGTGGTTATGAGCACTCGCAGCTCTCCAGGAAGACCCAGGTTCGGTTCCCAGCGTCCACATGCTGGTTTACAACCATCTGCAGCTCCAGTTCCAGAGGATCCGATGCCTCTTCTGACTTCCTCAGGTACCAGGCGCATGCACTGACTTGCAGGCTAAATGCTCATACCCATAAAATAAAAATAAATCTTGAGAAGAGGAGGAGGGGTTAGAAGGGGCTGGAGATGGTTCAGTGAGTTTAGGTGCTTGATGTCAAGTCTCACGACTTGAGTTACATCCCTGTGTTTGATAATTGGAACCCACATGATGGGTGGAGACAACTGACTTCTGCATGTTGTCCTCTGACTTCCATGTTTGTGCTATGGCATACATATGAACATGCATGTGCATGCACTCATATATATATATATACACATACACACATACACACATATATATACACACATACATACATATACACAAATGCAAACACATACATACATATACACACATACACACATACATATACACATACATACCTATACACAAATGCAAACACTCCTACATACACACATATATACACACACACACACACACACATATATACACACACATATACATACACATACACAGTTATATACATATACACACATACATACATACACATATACATACATACATACATGTACACACATACATACTTATACACATGCACACACACAGATAGATAAAGATAAATAAAAGAAGTGAGAAGAACATGTGACCTGGGCTTGAATCCCCCAAGTAAAGCTGCAGCCACTTCAGGATGCCCCTGCCCGTTCACTGCAGTCCCCACTGTCCCACATTGTCTTTCAGTCAGAAACTGAATGCCCGACATCATTTATTGCCACATTATGCTAAAGTTTCTCCACTCAGAGGGTAAGGGATTGGGGTCCCACATTACCAGCAGAATTAGAAGAAGCAGTTCACTTACAGTACCTGACTGCCCATTTTATAAAACTGGGTTGTTGGACATAGAATTCTATCGCTGGGGCATCATCTGTCCCCTCTTCTCTGTCACCAGGCCACCAACATGCTTATCATTACATCATATTTACAGCCCTCTGTCAAGCCATGTGCTTGGTGGCACAGGCCTTCATTCGTCAGGAGCAGGATGAGGGACAAAGGTGCACAGGAAGCGGGGCACAGGGATTGTCTCTAACAGATGTTCTTGCCATGCTGAGGAGAATGGGATTAGAGCTGAGTGGAGACAGCTTCTGGCCTTCCGCTGGGCTTCTGGCCTGTGTTTATGCTGAGCAGCAGTAGTTGTGAAGCTTGGGGACATTGGAGGGCTGAGGCAGTGTGACGGGGAGAGGCAGCGGAGCTCTATTGTGAAAACTCGGCCACTCTAGCGAGAGGCTCAGGCTGTGTGCTCTACTGCATATGAAGCCATTGCGGATCCCCAGGGAGAAGTCAGTCGAGCATCCCAGTTTTGTTGTTTGCTTTTCTAAGACAGGGTCTCACTATGTAGACCAAGCTGGCCTCGAACTCCTAGAGATCCACCTGTCTCTGCCTCCCAAATGCTGGGATTAAAGGTGTGCGCTACTACACCCAGGCATGTTATTATCATTATCATTATTTTACCACACAGCCCCGCTGCGATTTCCTGGAGGATCTCCCAGAAGCCCCTGGGGGGCATATTCCAGGCAGGTCCCTCCAGTGAGATGGGGCAAACACTTGGCATGGTAATGGAATTTTACCTTGCCATGGTTCAGGTTACAAGTCTCCTCATGGGAACCAGACTGGGGAGACCTGTCACAAGAACCAAGAAGGTCATCATCCCAGCCATTGTCAGCATCCCAGACCTGCACCCTGAGGGGTCCCCCTGTGGATAGGAGCACATTCCCAAAGTCCATCTTGTCATCCCACTTGGGATTGTTATTGTTCCATACTACACCGGTCCTGTGCTCCTGGCTACCAAAGAAGACCTTTAGGTAGGCATCGGTACCTGTGATATAGTCTCCCCACAGACCTGTTGCCTGGAAATTGCTTACCACCAAGTGGGCTAAGCCCCTCTGGCGTGGACAGCAGTCCTGGTTGGTGACCTCCGAATCCTGACACACACACTGGCATGAATCACGACTACTCTTACGCTGGCCTGGCCTGCAGGGCCGGCTACAGTCTCGCCAGCGGGCCCTGCTCATCAAATACTGGCTGATAGCCTGTCTCAGCGCCTCCCGCTTCGGATCCAGGTCTTCCAGGAGTGTGTGCAGGGGCTCCAGACTGTAGTCCACCAGACCAGGGCTGCTCGGCAGTGAGGCTATCCAGGTTGAGAACTGCTCGGGTGTAGCTTGGTTCCCGAAGAGCAGGTCATGCGTGGAGTCAAGGGGACCACCGAGCACTTCGACGTGACGCTCGCGGTAGGTCTGGTGGAAAGAGGTGGCAATTTTGTGCTGTTTCTTCTTCTCCTCACAAGCTTTGTATTCATTTGAGGCGCTGGCTTGGGCACCGATGCTGACCTGGGCCTCCACGTTCAAACAGTCTGCTACCTCATCGGCTGTGAGCCCATCCAGGGTCAGCTGACAGGTACGCAGGGCTGTGAGGACTGAGACGCGGCCACCTAGGTCCACAGCCGTAATAAAGTGGGTGCCATAGGAGGAGATGAGCCTGCGATAGGCGTCCTCCGTGGAGCTGTTAAAGTTGGGGGGAAGGCCCCTGAGTGCCTTCCTGAAGTCAGAGTGGAGTGGAGGTTTTTGCACCAGGCGAAAACTGTGGAGAGGGCAGAGCATTAGAGGGGCCTAGTGGGTGGTATTTCTCTATTCGATAGCACCTTCAAGATCCCTCCCCCATATATGTACACAGACATAAAAGTACACCGGGGCTAGCTGGGAAAAATAAAGGGGTTATCAGGAGTTGGGATAAAAAAAGACCGTGATCAAAATATATACATGTAGTGAAACCCATTGTTAAAATTTAGAATTAATATATGCCATCTAAAAAATGTAAAGTGTGTGGCTGTGGAGTGGGGAGTAGTGAGTAAAGCTTGCTGCTAAGCCTGCCAACCCAAGTTCGATCCCCAGAACCCACTTAGTAGAAGCAGAGAAAAGGACACCCGCAGGTTGTCCTCTGATCTCCTCACATTTGCTGTGACACACAGACACATAGACACACACTTAAAAAATACATTACAAAGTAAAGAAATATTTTTAGATGCCAGGAGGTGGTGGCACACGTCTTTAATCCCAGCACTCCGGAGGCAGAGGCAGGCGGATCTCTGTGAGTTTGAGGCCAGGCTGGTCTACAGAGTGAGTTCTGGGACAGCCAGGGATACATAGAAAAGCTTTAAAAAAAAAAAAAACCTTTTCTTTTTTTTAAAGTCTGAGAAACTAGTGTAGGCTACGTGGAGTCACTGTGTATCCATGTAGTAAGAAGGGAGGACACAGTCCTCCTTCTGTCCTGTTTCTGTCCCTAGCCAAGAAGAATCCATGGGAGGTTGACAATGCCTAGGAGAGAGGTTTTAGGTGCTCATTGCCTGTATTTAAATGTCACCAAGCTAGGACTCAGGAACAATCTTGCTTCCATTGCCCTGTTCTCCGGATGTAGGTGATCATGCATAGAGGAGGCCTATCATGGATAGATGATAGATAGATAGATAGATAGATAGATAGATAGATAGATAGATAGATACATACATACACACACAGATAGATGATAGATACCGAGTAGATAAACAGATACATAGACAGATGATAGATGCCGGGCGGTGGTGGCGCACGCCTTTAATCCCAGCACTTGGGAGGCAGAGGCAGGCGGATTTCTGAGTTCGAGGCCAGCCTGGTCTACAGAGTGAGTTCCAGGACAGCCAGGGCTACACAGAGAAACCCTGTCTCGAAACCTCCCCCCCCCAAAAAAAGGACAGATGATAGAGATACATAGACAGGTACAGAGATAGATAGTTACATACATACATAGACAGATAATAGATACATAGATACAGTGTAGATAAATAGATAGATATATACACACAGACAGACAGACACACAGACAGACATACCTGGATAGTTACATAGATACAGACATAGATGATACATAACACAGTTAGATACATATACAGTTACTTAGACAGATATATAGGCATATAGATACATAGATGATAGATAGATAGATAGATAGATACACACATACATAGGGTCTGGCATCCAAAGACCACTGTGGTGGTTAGTTTTCATTGTCAGCTTGATACAACCTAAAATCACTTGGGGAGAGTGTCTTAGGGAGGAATTTTCTAGAGCAGATCAGCTTGTGGTCTTGCCTGTAGAGCGTTGTCTTGATTGCCTTATTTGATGTGGAAGACTCAGCCTGAAAGTGGGTAGCACCATTTCCTGTTTCGGGCCCTGGACTGTATAACAGTAGAGAAAGCTAGCTTAGCGCTTGGCATGAAGGTGCTCATTTCCCCTTGCTCTCGACTGTGGGTATGTGACCAGCTGCGTCACGTCGAGCCATGGTGAACTGTAACCCGGAAAAGTGACTAAAATAAGCCGTCTCTCCTTAGCTGCCTATTGGTCAGGACGTTTTATCACATCAACAGAAATTAATTCAGAGCAGTGACTCCTAACCTGCGGGTCAAGACCCCCCCACTGGTCACATATCAGATAGCCTGGATATCAGATTTTTACTTTATGGTTCATAACAGTAGTAAAATTACAGTTAGGAAGTAGCAAGGAAATCATTTTATGGTTGGAGTCACCATATTAGGAACTGTATTAGAAGGTCACAGCGTTAGGAAGGGTGAGAACTACTGATTCTAGAGTGATCAAGATTTGGTGTACCCCTGTGAAACAATAGGCAAACTCCACTCGCTATTCCAGAGTTTCTAGACCCCTTAGAGTGTCCTACTATTCTTCCGGCTCCTCTCTCCCCTGCCTCAGCTCTTACCTGTACATGCGACACTCCACTGTGTCAGTATTAAAGTTGTACTGGTCCTGATAGGTCTTCTCGGCTGCATAATTAGCTACCTTGGAGTGGGAGCCAGCCACGGACACACGCACGTTTGCTTCCGGCTTAGGGTTCACATCCAGCCCCACACGCCAGTCGTTATTGATATTAGCAGCTGCCTCCCGGGCCACGCCCTCCGTGGAGCTGACCTTGGCTGCGGCCACATTACGCTGGCAGTGTGACGACGCCTGAGGCCGCCAGTGGGTGATCGCCACGGGTAGGCGCTGTATAGCGCCTTTCATTAGGGCGTTTTTACAGAGGGTGCAGGTGCGGTCAGGCCTCAGGAACTTCAGTGTGTTCACTGGGAAGGAGCCGGAGCGGCGGAGGGTGGTCACATCCACGCCTTCCCCAGCCATCCATGCGCCTGGCACGAACTTGTGCTTCTGCTTGCATTCTGACCGAGTGGCAGTGTAGCAGGGAGCAGGGACGGGTCGGGGCAGCAGCAGGAAAAGGCCCAGGAGGAACAGGTACGCAGCCATGATGCTGCAGGCACAGTAGTTGTAAACTCTGGAAAGCTGTGGGAACAGGGATGAAGGATGCTGACTCACGACTGGAGAGCATCAGGAGAGAGAGTCAACTTCTCTTTAGTTACTGCATGCCAGAGCTGGACTGGCTTGGTCCGTTGTACAGAGAAAACCAGAGGGATTAAACATATAACCCAGTCACACAGCCAAGAGGAGCCTTGTGCTGAGAGACTTTATTATCTCAGACCTAGCAGGAATCAAGATTGAAGCCTGTGACCATGGACAGAGCATCTGTAATAGGTTTCGGCTCTGGAGATGTGTCATTTCCTACCCAGAGTGGGACACTTTTCCTATCTGATTCCTTTTCCCCATTCCAGGGATGGACCCAGAGCCTTTTTATGTACAGTAGACAAATGTTCCACCATGGAGCCACACCCTACTATCTATCTATCTATCTATCTATCTATCTATCTATCTATCTATCTATCCATCCATCCATCCTTCTATCTTGAGACAAGGTATCATTGCTCAAGATAGCTTTGAAATCATTCTGTTGCCTAGGCTAGCCTTGAACATGTGGAGGAACTAGGATCTTAAGCCTGTGGCACCAGGCATGACTCCTAGCTGCTTCTCACTTTCTCTCCGTCTCCAATTCCAACGGTGACTTCTGTCTCTCCCTTACAGATGTGAGGAGACAGTGAGCTCCCTGCACATCCCCTGTGGCTGCTCTGAGCCTCCTGCAAGGGCACCAGCCCCAAATCTACAATGGATGAAGGCTGCCCTGTCTCTATGCCCGTGGCCCTAGTGTGTGGGACTTTAAATGTGCCCTTGCCAGCCCTTCCGCTGCTCACAGTTTTTGTCTTGCCACTTCAGACTTATGGCAGTGCGAGCATCTACCTGTTGCCTGCTGCTGGGCAGCAATCCATTAAAAGACTTGGGGGAGCCGCAGGGGCCTGGTTTTGAATCTCCTTCTATCCCTGTCTCAGCATTTCTCTACCTGCGGATCGAGACCATAGGAAAACACACATTTCCCAGTGGTCCTGGGAACCGAACCATAAATTTAGTTTCATGACTTCATGACTGTAATTTTGCTATCTTGCAGTTTCTAAGACCCTTGGAAATATGTATTTTCCAGTTGACATGACCCACAGATGGAGAACTGGCTCCTTCCAAGACCCTCGGAGTTCTTTCTTTCTGCCTGCAGGGTCTTACGTAAGGGAGTGGGGTGAGCAGAGGTCTCCCTCACATCTAGCTAAAGCCTTCCATGCTCTACCTAAAGCAGTGACTTGGAGGCAGGATTGAGGTGACATGTGGGGTCGGGAGGTAAACAAGCAGGGGAATCCTGTCAAGATTCTGATCATCTTGCTTAAGAGACCAGCACACTTGTGACTTTGACCAACGGACACCAGTTCCCTTCTGGCCTTCTTTGAATTGTCAGGGAGTCTATTTACAGGTCTTGGCTTCTTCCTCCTTTTCTCTCCTGTCCCTTTCCTTCCTCTCCCCTCCTCTCTTCTCCCCTCCTCTCCCCTCCCCTCCTCTTCCTTGCATCTTTCGAGACGGGGTACCACCATGTCCCCCGGTGGTAGAGTCATAAGTGTGTTCCATTCTTGGCCCATTTCCATCGTTTACAAACATTAACTGCCAGAACTTTTGGAAATAGCCTTTAAGACTGTGGACAGTCGTCATTTACACATGAACCCCAGAGTGATCACCAACCCCACGAAGGAATGAGAGATGAGCTTGAAGGCTGGCTACTAGCACTTCTGGTTCCTTCTGGCTGTACCTCCCAACTCTCTTTCCCGGGGTATCACAACCTGCCTGCTTCCCACCCCTCCTCCTCCTTACCTGAAGTCCCACAGAGATGCCACTGCAGCGCAGGAGGACACCTGCGTTGCCAATGGAGGCTTTAAAAGGCTGCGATCAATCTCCATACAGGCCCACCCTGGCCAACGTCATATCGTTACTACTTCCTGCCCTGCCCCCAGACTGTGGTCACAGGTCCCCACCAGCACCCACCCTGTTGTCACCTCCTCATCCGGCTTGTGACAGCCTTCAGGAAGTCAGCTGTAAAGGCCAGGGGCTCATCTTCCAGGCAGAGCAGTGGAGGGGGGGGGACGACTCTGCTGTGGACCAGCAGGCCAACTAACTACTCTCTGCTTCCAAGTTGAGTGTTTGGGATGGGGTGAGCTGTCAGGAAGAGTTGCTGAAGAGCGGCCTGGGCTTGAGGGGTTTCAGCCTCTTCACGTCTCAGCTCCTCATCCCAAAGTGTGGCTAATCACAGTGTCGCATGAGAGGGAACATAAAGACGTAGTGCGGTGCTTAGAACTGGACACGATCCCTATTCACTCTCAGTACATGTGACTGTCCCCTCCTCCTTGGGGAGTGGGAGAGATACTCAGTGCCCACTTCCTGTCCATACCTACGTCCCAGCCGTGCCTCAGGTCTGAGCAAGCTAGTACTGTGGAAAGACAGTTGCCCACTCTGCTCAGCCTGAGGTTACTGTGGGGCGGTTTCCATGGGCAGAGTGACTCACGGACACCTTCTGGGGGCAAAAAAAATGTGCTGGTTATGAGGTGGGTAAAAGCAGGCTGGGTGGCGGTAGTTCTCAACATCCCCTAAGTGCATACATGATGGGAGTAAGTAGCCGCAGGCCCCAGGGTCACATTTCACCCCAGGCTTGTGCCATCTTTCTCAGAACTCGGCCTCATCTGTTACTCTCCCAGAAACTGCAGTTGCCCTGTGGCCCCGTGTTGGCACTCTGCTCAGGGGGTCTCAATGGGATCCCCAAGCTCAGAGACATTCAGTCCCCAACCATGCTGCAAGGAGCGCATGTAAGGTGTAGAAACCTGCAAAAAGCCTGCGGGCAAAGAGTCGAGAGTCTAAACAGGCTCCAGTCTGGCTACACCAGAAACCTACTCTTAGCAGTTGTTTTATTTTTTAAAGCTCCTTTGTAGTCCCAAACTTGATGTATGAAGTCAGAAGAGGGGGCTGGGGATGTAGCTCAGGCTAGCGCACTTGTCTAGCATGTGAAAGGTCCTGTGTTTCACCTTCAGTCCTGTAATCAGTCCTGACTCTTGTCACCATCACCACCATCATCACTGTTATCTCACCACGGCCATTATCACATCGCCAGCGTCACCACCATCCCATAATACCGGCATCTCTCTCTTCCTCACTTCACCAGTATCTTCACCATCATCATCATATGGTTGTCACCGCCATCCCATAATACCGGCATCTCTCTCATGATCAGATTATAATCACCTGACATCATCGATATCACCACCTCCATCACGTCCCTCCACCAAAATCAGGAGAAAACTGTCTTCTTAAGAACCCTTCTAGCAGGGGCTGGAGAGATGGTTCGGGGGTTAAGAGCACTGACTGCTCTTCCAGAAGACCTGGGTTCGATCCTCAGCACCCACATGGCAGCTCACACCTGTCTGTAACTCTAGTCTCAGATCTTCTGACACCTTTACACAGACATACATGCAGGTAAAACACCAATGAACAAAACATAAGAGTAATATATATATATATATATATATATATATATATATATATATATATGTGTCTGTGTGTGTGTGTGTGTGTGTGTGTGTGTGTGTGTGTGTGTGTATGTATTCTTTTAATAAAATTAATTCTTCTAGCAAATGATAAGACATGTATTTTGAAGGTTCCCACTGTGGGGTGCCCACCAAAGAGCCAATGCTTCTGACAGCTCTGGGTTTGTGTATTTGATGAAAGCTGTCTGGTCAGTTGAAACTCAGAGCTGAAGTGTGCACCAACATGGTTTGTCCTCAGAAAGACGTGTTGAAATGTATTTCACCTGCCCTACACACACCCATTGAGGATATTTGATCCCATGGGTTTTGCTATGTTCAGAGGGCTGTCCATCCACCACCACAGCCAACTTCAGAATATTTCCACCATTCTCCAAAAGAAACTGTGTGCTCACTGGCAGCCATTTCTCATTTCCCCTTAACACAAACCTAGTTTACATCTCCGGGTTTTCCTATCTCCTTACCTTCCTGGCCAAATTTTCTTTGGAAGCTTGATAGAGGCTAGGATTATCTGGGAAGGTGAACCTGAATGGAGAAAATGCCCCCATTGGATCGCTTATAGACAAGTCTGAGCACTTTCTCTCAATTCATGATCAATATGGGAGGGCCCAGCCCACTTTTGGGGCCGACACCCTTGGATATGTGGTCCTGAGTTGTAGTAGAAAAGCAGGCTGAACAAGCCATGAGGAGCAAGCCAGCAAGCAGCACTCCTCCACGGTCTCTGCTTCAGTGCCTGCTGCCAGGCTCTTCCCTTGACTTCTTGTCTTGATTTCCTTCAAAGAACTGTGACTCTGGATGCGTAAGCCAAATATACCCTTTCCTCCCCATGCTACTTTTGGCCATGGTCTTTTTTTTTTATTTATCACAGTCATAGAAACCTAACTAAAACATTTATTTTCACATAAATGAAATCGTACAATATGACTGTTTCTGTCTGCCTTATTTTTGACCAGTAGTTTTCTAAATTTATTTTTATTGGATATTTTATTTATTTACATTTCAGATGTATCCCCCTATCCCCGCCCCCATAAGCCCCCTATCCCAGTCCTCCTCCTCTTTTTTGCTTTTACATGAGAGTATTCAGGTCAGCTCTAGGTTGAGGAACTAGCAATACAACAGATGCAAGTAGTTAAGGAACAAGCAAGACAATAAATACAAATAATCAAAGAACAAACAAGGCAATAAACAAAGTCCAGCGATCACTCCTGTGATCAATATTTCTAAGGGCTTATCAGCATGACCAAAATATCTGAGCTTATTTCCTTGTCCTAGCCCAAAGTCATTTTCATGCCTGAAGCCTCCTTCCTTGTCCTAGCCTAAGATTTAGATTCCTGTTTGAAATTACTTCTTTGTTCTAGCCTAATTTCAGATTCCTCCCTATAGCCCATTTCCTTGTCCTTAGCCAATGTCATATTCCTGCCAAGCAGCCCCAAAGGCTCTCTGCCTTTCCCCCCCTTTTTTATTTCATAAACAAGACTGAGCCTGTCTTAGGTCATTCTGACAAGAATGCCTTCCTCATGGAATAGACATTATCAAAAGCAATGCACTTCTGTCTTAGGTTGGTAAAGCTCTATGAAGAATCTTACCTGTCCTTGGCTTGCCAGCCTGTTAAGTTAATAACTCTGTCTGGGGGTGACCAGTAGTTTTAAGGTTCTTGAATGTTGTAGCATGCGTCAGCTTTTCTATGGCTGAATAGTATATGATCATGTGGGCATACCACATTTGTTTATATATGCATTAGCTGATGGTCATATCATGAACAGCACTACTAGGAAGATTTCTGTACAAATTTCTTTATGTAAATAAATGTCTTCATTCCATTTGGTTTATAGCTAGCAGTGGAATTGCAGGGTTATGTGGTAACTTCCATTTGACTGACTGATTGACTGATTGATTGAGACAAGACTTTGTAGCCCTGGCTGTCCTGGAACTTGCTCCATAGACCAGGCTGGTTTGAACTCACAGACATCTGCCAACCTCTGCCTTACTGGAACTAAAGGTGTGCATCATCATCACCCGGCTCCATTTTATTCTTGAAGGAATTGTTTTCCCATGTGGCTGGGGTGAAGTCAGCAAGAAGCTAATCAATGCTGTACAAAGGACACAGGGTATCTGAAGTTCATCACACACTGAGCACACAGAGGTCTGGGGGCTGAGCCCCAGACTCATCTAGAAGGAAAAGCCAGGATCCCAGGAACCAAAATCTTAATTCCTTCAAGGTCCTGTTCTGGCCTCAGGCTGGTCCTTTCCAGGTCTGTCCTTTTCTTCTTCCATTCATTTCTCTGAGAAAGGCTCGGAATCTGCCCAACTCCCAACACATGGTTCACAAATATTTCTATTCTGAGTCATCTTTTTGTTAGCGTCTTTCCTTTCCTGTCTTCTCTTCCTCCCTCCTTTCCTTTTTGCAGTACTAGGAGTTGAAGTCAGGCCTTCTCACATCTGTGCAAGAGTTCTTCCCCTAAGCCATGTTCTCAGCCTCCTCGTTGATCTTTCTTTCCTTTATAAAAATTTGTAAGGCTGCAGGTAATGTGTGCACACAGCACACAGACATAAAGGCAAAACATCCATACACATAAAGTAGAGAAAGAGTGTGAGTGTAATTTTTTTGAGATTTATTAATTTTTTTTTAAAAAAATTCTTTTTCTTTTTTTTCCTTTTCTTTCTTTCTTTTTTTTTTTTTTTTGATTTTTGAGACAGAGTTTCTCTGTGTAGCCCTGGCTGTCCTAGAACTCACACTGTAGACCAGGCTGGCCTCGAACACAGAAATCCACCTGCCTCTGCCTCCCAAGTGCTGGGATTAAAGGGGTGCGCCACCACTGCCCGGCAAAATGTGTAGCCCAGGCTGGCCTCGAACTTGTGATCCTCCTGCTTCTGTCTTCTTCAGCAAATCCTACCCGTGTGCACCACCAATACCGGCTTTATTTTTCTTTTATATATTACATCCCAACTCCAGTTTCCCCTCCCTCTCCTTCCCTCAATCTCCTTCCCCCCACTTTCTCTCCCCCTTCCAGATCCATCCCACCTTCACCTCCCCTCAGAAAAGAGCAAGCCTTCCAGGGACATCAACTAAATACCGCATAGCAAGTTATAGCCTTCTCACATCAACAATAGATATTCTCACATCAAGGCTGGACCAGACAACCCCGTAGGTGGAAAAGGGTCCCAAAAGCAGACAATAGAGTCAGAGACAATCCCTGCTCCACTGTTAGGATCCCACAAGAACATTAAGTTACTCAGCCCTAGCATATATGCAGAGAACCTAGGTCAGACCCGTATACCCTCTGTGATCTCTCTGAGCCCACTTGAATCCCAGTTAGTTGATTCTGGGTCCTGTTCTGTGATGTCCTTGATCCCTCTGGCTCCTCCAATCCTTCCTCCCC